GGAGGACTTTAGAGGTCATTATTATAAGGACTTGGCTTTTGCCCGGAATGGGATGGGGAACCACTAGAGAGAGGGTCTGGGGTAAGAGTTATCATGACCTGACTGCATTTATTAACAGGCTCGCTCTGGCTACTGTGCTAAGAACAGCCTGTAGGGAGTCAAGGAGGGGTGGCAAGGCAAGAGAGAATAGAGGCTTGGATGGGGGCGGATAGCAGCAAATTTGGTGAGAAGTGTCTAGATTCTGTATATATTTTTAATAGAGAGGCCATAGGATTTGCTGACAGGTGGGGTGTGAGATACACAAGAAAATAAATTGTCAAGGATGACTCAAGTGGTTGACCCAAGCATTGGAAGGATAGAGTAGCCATTTCATTTACCAAGATGGATAAATCTGGGAAAGGAGCAAGTTTAGGGAGATAAGATCAGGAGTATAATTTGGAACACATGTCCTTCAGATGTCCTTTAGATAACCAAGGAGATATACTGAAAAGGAGTTTGATACTGGCATTTGGAGCTCAGGAAAGGCATCATCAGCTAATAGGTAGGTTCTGAGAGTCCTAAGATTCCGTGAAAATAACAGGGATAGAAAAGAGCCCTGGGCCACTCAAGCATTCAAGGTCTGCGAGAAGAGGAGGAACTGGGTAAGTTGCAAAAAGAGTGAGGAGGCCAAAAGAGGTTAGTAGGGAAAACCACACACGTGTTGTCCTGGAGGGCAAGTGATGAAGGATTTCAGGGAGGGGAGAGTAATCAGCTCCATCAAATCAAGTAAGATCAGGACGGAGAATGAGCACTGAAGGTCACCTTGATAAGGCTGCTTAGACGCAGTGGGGAGGCCAAAAACTTCACTGGAGCAGGCTCAGCAGAAGGGAGGAGAACTGGAGACAGGGGGATAGACAACTCTCCCAGAAAGTTTTATTTAAGAGGGGAAACACATAGTGAGGAAATAGGGTCACGTGAGGTGTTCTGTTGTTTTTGTTTTTTTGAACCAATGGTGGAAATGATAGGGTAGGGAGGGGGCCTGGGGAGGAGCGCTGGGGCCTTGTCCAGAAGAGGCAGGAGGGGTGGGACCTGGCACTCTGGTGGGAGGGCACAGCAATGTGGAGAGAAGGTGGTGCGGTTCCTGGCAAGGGCGTACGGATGCTGCAAGGTGGACTAAGAGCAGGGCAAAGTGAGGAGTTTCTTCTGGGTGATACTTGCCTCTCTCCTTTTAGGAATTAACATAGATATCAAATCGCTAACTACTGTGAAAGGGTTTCAGTCTAAAGTGGAAAGGAGGATATGAGATGGAGAATCTCATTCAAGTGCCTCAGAGGAACGGAACTTAAGAACCGAGAGCCTGATTTCCTGGAAATGCCCGATTTACAGAAGACAGAGCTTTACCTTATGACCAGGGAACATCTACCAAGTCTCTCCCCATCCTCACGCCAATGACCTTACTTTTTGAACTCTGGTTGGATGTCCCCCTCTTTGTACTCCTTGCCCATAAATACAAGCCATCCCAAACCCTCCCCAGACTCTCCGGGGCTTGCAGTAGCATGCGTTCTCCAAATTGCAATTCCTCTGCTATTCCCAAGTAAACTAGGTTTCTGGTAATTCAGGCTTGCCTCAGTTTACCTTTTCATTGAGGCTGACACTAATAATGTAACTTTGGTCAGATTATTTAGTATCTCTAGGTTACAGTTACCTAATTTATAAAATGAGAATAACAATACTACCTATGTTAGAGAATGCTGGGAGGATTAAATGAGTTAAGAATAAATACTTTCATCTAAATATTGAAAAGTGCTTAAGGAATAACTAGCACATAGTAAGCAATCTAAATAGGTGACTTTTACCCTTTATCAACAGATATTTTTAATGGAGCAATAAAAAGTGAGGGGAGTTGAGATGTTCCAGAACCTATTCTTTCAAAAAAATTACTTAGGGGTGCTTGGCTGGCTCAGTTGAGAGAGCATGAAACTGTTGATGTCGGGGTCGTGAGTTCGAGTCCCATGTTGGGTGCGAAGATTACTTAATAGACTTAAAAAAAAAAGAAAAATAACACTATAAAAAAAGAAACATCTCTTCTTTAAAAAAATTACTTAAATGTCTGAGGTTTTCCCCCATTTGTAAAAGTGGGTATCACCTGAATTATGAATAGTATTGATGTAAAAATCAAGTGTCATATATTAAATATGTTTTGAAAAGTAAGTACTAATATATGATGATTGATATTGTTATGTTGTAATTAAAATTTCATCAGGGTAAATAAGTACTTAAAACCAATTTAGAAAAATTTCAATTGCTGTGAATTTAATTTTGGCTCAAAGTTTCTTTCAGTTTATTGTAGCATTTTTGGGGAAAACTATTATAACATCCATATATCTAATTATAATGAAATTAATATTTCAGTTTTTGTAACTTTCATGAACACACAGTGATATTGGAAGAAAAACGACTGGACGGCATCCGGCAGCTGACTTTGCATTCAAGGATGGGTTGTCTTATGCAGATACTTTATGTTTTTCCATCCTTACTAGTTCTTAGGGACAAAGTCTGTAAATAAAGGAGTCTCTCCAGGGGTTTACTGTGTTCCCAGTGTCATCTCCCATTCACACTGAATCCTCTCAAAGGCAGCAAATCAAAGGTCTCTGATGTTCTGGAGCCCTCAAGGCAGCTTTGGGTTTCCCTTCTTCAAAGCAGTTTAATTTCCCAACAATAATAAAATAAGATCATTAAAGATCAATGTTATGTGAATCCTCAATTTAAAGTTATCCTGGACTATCTGCAATTCTAGAAGGGCTAAAGTAGGCCTAAGATTTAAGACACACGTATCTTCCCGTCACTGCGGATCTACTCCCTGCTTTGTTGGCAATTTTGCAGTTGAAAATTTGGAAAATGTTAAAATATATCTTAACTGCAGAGATTATTCCTAAAGAATAGTTTCAGAGTAATATCCTTCACATACTCCCATCTATTTTGATTTTCATCCAAGTGTTTCTAAAACCTGTAATAGTTATGATGAGAAATGATGCACAGGAAAATGGAAGCTTGATAACCAGTGACACAGCAAAGAGCTCCCTCTGTGGCCAGCAGCCTGAATTGCACTTCCATCATGCCCAGAGTGGTTTGCAATCCTTGGAAAACCCGATTGTTGTCAGGTCAGGAATTTACATGGCTCCCTTAGGAAAGATGATCCAAGTACCTTTAGAGACATGCTCTCTCAACTCGGTAACTGTAATAGACACAATAAAGGTTACAGAATTATAGAACTATAACCCCAAGCCCTGTGAAGACAGAAGTGTGACAGACCTGCCAATCCAGGCCTCCCACCCCATTGTTGGAGATTGACCCCGCCCACAGCTCTGGGTGCTATGTTGGCACCAGGACACTCTCTTGAACCAGCTGAACACTGACCCTGAATCTGTAAGATGAGGATGGGTGAATCGTCTGGAAAGATCAGAAAAAGGCACAGCTGGGAGCCAGGCCCCAAGGTAGATCAAAATCTACAAGGCACCTGGCACAGCATAATCCCGAATTAGCACAGAAAACAGGGCCACAGAGAAGGACAGTAAATGGGAGCACCCGAATTCATGGGGAGATCAGGCCCAGTATGTATATCCTATTTCCCTTTTGGGACTGTATCCTGAATTGGCATATTTACATAGACACATCAACAGTTTAGTTAAGCCTAACTTAACATTTCTGTCAAGTTCACTTTTAAGTATTAAATACAATATTTAATACATGATTAATATTAATATTTAATACAAATATTAAATTTAGATGCATTTTTAAGTCTTTAAGAGGAGAGACAGTGGAACTGATAGAAGTACAACAGAAAAGTATGTGACAGGGAGCAATTACCACAGCTTCCTGTGTAGGTCCTTCTGAGAAACAGTCAAGGGGATGTGTAGGCAATGGCTCCCCATATACCTGGGGGGCTATGGCACATGTCACATGGGTCGTGGACGGCAAAACTCCTACTGAAGTAAGTACATATGTGAGCCAGGAGCCTTCTTTTATCCCTCTTGAATGTTACAATATAGAAAGCAGACACAGAGGAGGTGATTCTGAACACTGAGGAATATGCAGTGGCCTAGCCTGCCACACTCTGAGTTTGTTAAATTTGGAACTAGGCTGTCTGATAAACTGCATCTGAAAGGTTAACCTGGCTGCAGGTAGTCCCTAGTGACCTAGTCTTTCAGTGTAGGTTGGTTCTGAATTCCTAAGTGTTGTGAATTGGCTAAAAGTGAGTTCTGGATATCCTCTTTGTGGCTGACCTAAGATTTTTTTCTAGAATGGTCTTCCAGTCATTCTAGCAGCTAGGTAGGTTTAGCACTTGAGGAAGGTATTAGAAGTACAGTGTTTGTTAGAATTAAAATTTGTCAACCAAGAGTAGATATCTATTATTAAAGTTTTGGTATACCCTCAGAAAAAGTTTGAAGTTTAAATTAAGCCAAACAGTTAAAGGTATCAGAATAATAAGCTTATTCTGTCTGTATTTCTAAGAAACACTAAAAATTACAATAATAAAATCCCTATTATAAATTTCAGACCATCACATATACATTGAAGTCACTGTCTTTTACAATGTCAGAAAACTCATTTCTTTTACATAATTATAATAGAGTTAAAATTCTGGTTTGGTCTCACAAAGAAAATTAGGTACAATTTTTATTATGATTAAATAATTTTACATTATTGGGGCACCTGGGTGGCTCAGTCGGTTAAGTGTCTGACTCTTGATTTCAGCTCAGGTCATGATCTCAGGGTCGTGGGTTCGAGCATTGGGCTCCGCGCTCAGCATGGAGTCTGCTTGAGTTTCTCTCGCTCCCTCTGCCCCTCCCCCACTCTCTCGCTCTCTTTCCCCCTCTCTCTCAAATAAATAAATCTTTAAAAAAATAACTTTACATTATTAAAATTAAAAATTAGGACTTCACTGGCCTGAAATAAAAATATTCTGACGTGTTGATTCAGAATTAAAGGTTATTTTTATACTTTCCTTTTTTGACCAGAAATATGATTTTTGAGACTGTACCTATTTTCCCCAAGATGCCTATGTGCTTCTCTGGTACACGCTAAAGACCATATAAGAGAAAGTCTTGTGATTTCACATAATGTGACCTCAGGACATTAGACATTTTCAGCTCTGAAACTACTACAGGGAGCCAACAGCAGTGGTAGTTCTTCTGCCCACTGCTGACTCCCTGTGCATCCTTGAGACCATGAGTTTGGCTTGTAATACCATCCGCCCAGAAAGGGAATAGATTGCCTTAGGCGGTAACTGATTCTAAGACCTGAGCGGAAAAAAATCAAAACGTGTCTGGAGCATGCTGTTGTTTTCAGATACTATGGATACTTTTAGAAATGTCAGAGTCCTGAAAGGACATTGGCATCAACATAATGGGACTTCCTATTGATCAAGTTGTGAGACTTTGAGCATCAAATACAAGCACAGCAAGGTAGTCATAACAAAAAAGTAGTTTAAATTTTTTAGAAAGTAGGGGAGTATTCATATTTTTATTTTATTTTTTTTAAGATTTTATTTATTTGAGAGAGAGCGCACAAGTGGGGGAGGGAGGGGCAGAGGGAGAAGCAGACGCCCCGCTGAGCAGGGAGCCTGATGCGATATAGGGCTCAGTCTCGATCCCAGGACCCCGGGATCATGACCGGAGCCAAAGGCAGCTGCTTAGCAGACTGAGCCACCCAGGCGCCCCTGTATTGAGTATTTTATTCCTTCTAATAATTTTGTCTGTTTACAATATTTACATATATAGTTATTTCCAACCAGGTAAGCATCAAAGAAAAAATACACGGAACTAGGAACTTGGCCAAACGATCCTGGTAGAAGGTACTAAAATAAAAAAATAGGGTGGATTTATTAGCATAAATAATAGGATGTAAGGTGAGCACAAATAATAACCACATAGCAGGTGGCACAGGTGGTCATATACAATAATTAGGGAAGAGAGACAATTCAACACTGTATTTTAAAACATGAATTATTCAATGTCCTGAAGAGATAAGTTAACTACACAAACTAAATCCCTCATTACCAAGAAATGAAAGCTCTAGAATCAAGATTCCCAATAAGGAATGCAGCCATTTTAAATAATGAAAACAGATCAAAATATCCGAATGACAAGCCAACAGGGTAGGTACTACCAGCCATGCAAAGCTTAATACATCATAGCTGCAAAAGATGCCAAGTTTCAAGGACAAATATTTATAAGAAGAGGAATTAATAGTTTACCACACACACACACACACACACACACACACACACACACAAACAGCTTGGCAGGGTGACTCACAATTGAATTACCGCAGCCTACTACACAATCAGGCCAGACCGTGTCTAGACCAAGATTCACCTGGTCAATAACCCAGATCCTCTCTTTTTCCCTCACCTCTGGTCAGACCACTGAAACTCAGGAAAGCACTAATACTGAGACATTGGGAATAGATCACGTTAAGAATCATATACTGGGAAGTTATTAAGTAAGTACGGAAATAACAAGAAATTACCCAAACCATAGTCTTAATGTTTTAGAATAGGTTGAAGGGAATGTGCAATAATACATTTTATAATCACTGCTTATAGCTATCTTTTACCAGCTGTTTAAGGTGTTATTTCTCCATACTAAATTTGTACTCACAGTTAAAATTTTTCAGAAAATTTAGTCAATTTTGCAATTAACATTTAAATACTCAAGAAAATTTAGGGTTCCTTAATTTTTTTGGTATGAATGTAATGAAGCAATCCTTAAATGAAGTATTTATAGTTTTGGGTATCCTTCACATCTAAAAGTGCCTCAGACAATGAAAGCCTCTATTAATTATTATTTTAAAAATTCATAATTCAGGGGCGCCTGGGTGGCTCGGTTGTTAAGGTCTGCCTTCGGCTCAGGTCATGATCCCAGGGTCCTGGGATCGAGCCCCGCATTGGGCTCCCTGCTCGGCAGGAAGCCTGCTTCTCCCTCTCCCACTTCCCCTGCTTGTGTTCCCTCTCTTATCGTCTCTCTCCATCAAAATAAATTTAAAAAATCTTAAAAAAAAATTCATATTTCAAAAGAGAAAGTCTGTAATTATGGAATCCTAACAGCCCCTGCTAGAATCCAAAGGAGGAAGTGATTTTAAAAGGACTTAAGACAAAGCTTGAGTTGTCTATTTCTACCAAACAGTCATCATTTGCTTGGTTTTGAAGGACAAATGAATCATAACTTAGTAGGAATCACATTTCCATATTAACCACTTGGGTAGATGCCATGATATATGATTGAGATTACTGCACATTCTCCTTCTAACTACAGGCTTTAAGTTGTGTTAAGGGTAGGTCTCCCAAAGGAACAAAGAATCTGAAGCACAACATGTTAGCTCAAGCAAACGGAAAACTCAAAAGGTCAATACCTCCGAAAGCTACAGTTTGACCAGCTGCCAGATCCTTAGGAATACCATGGACTGTAAGGATGCCTCTCAAAGAAGGAAAAGCATTAGTCACATCTAATCTGACAAATGAGAATAAACACAGAGATAATATTAGAAAAATCACATGATTTTGGCAAATAATAAATATTCACACTTCGCACATCTTGGGTGAAGGAAAAAAATAGGAAAAAAAAAAACCAACAGAAAAGAGTTCATCTAACTTGTTAGCTTTATGAGGGCTACCTTCCTGGCATTTGCTCCTGAGTGAATGGGAGAAGCAATCTTAGGAAGACCCAACCCCCAATTAAAAAAAAGAGAGAAAGAGAGAGAGGGAACAAAACCAACTAAAAAACGAAACCAAAACAAACAGAAACATCTTGGGAATACAAGTATTCCATCTGCAAAATTAAGCACAATGTCAATTACTTCAAATGCTGTATCACACTGCCCGGCATTGATTATACAACTTCGCAAGTCATGAAGATAAACCTGAAATTATAACACCTGTCGGGAGAGCTGGTATTCAGAATGGTACTCAATATGGCCAATAGTTCTGTACACATACGGACACATGTCGATATCCCGAAGGTGCTGTGTGGAGCTGGGGAGGCTGAAATGTGACTAGAAAGCTTTTCATGATTATGGCTTTTTTCTCATTTCTTCATCCCAATCAAAATCTAATGCTTCGTCATCTAGTTCTGATAAAGTAAAGAGAGAGTTTTTGGAAAGAAGCAATCTCTCAGTGGACCCCTCCAGCTGAAAAGTTTTCCTTTTCCTGCCAAGCACTATAGCTGTGGCCCCGGGAGGAAGGCTGGGGCCTCTCGCCCCCCGGTTCTCACTTTCAGGAGGAGGAGGGGATTCTGATTTGGATTCAGAGGGGGAAGTAAAGGAGAAGTTGGCCAATTTGGCTAATGTGCAAGCATGAACCTTGCTGCTCTTATTATTGCATGAGACCTCTTCCTTTCTGTCTCTTTGACAAGTAAGAGGAGAATGCCCAGTCTGGTTCCCAAGCTCAAATTCAGGCTGGGTAACTCTTCCTTCAGGGCCGTGTTTGCTCTTCTCTCTTGATCTGTCTTCCTCCGGTGCCTGCTGGGACACTTCCTTTGCCTTACCCTGTGGCTGATTTGAGTTTCTGCTTCCTGAGGTAGAAGCCAACTTTTGTGGCCCCTTCCCAGGCAGAGCTGCTTCTCTTCTTGCTCTCTGGTGAGTTCTGGGACTTGGAACTGCTCCTTCAGTTGTGCCAGGAGACACAGCACTGTGGTCTTCAGGGGAGTGGGTCAGTTTTGACTTCTGTTTGAAAGTAAATTTTGCCAGTTTGGCCAGGGGGGGACCTGGACTCTCAACACTTTCAAGCTCAGGCTCTTCCATCTGAGCAAGGGATTTTTGTCTCTTTCTTTTGGGAGTTTCCAGTGTTCCTTCAGGGCCAGGGGCAGGACTGGACCGAGGCTGAGGAGGGCCTGTGGGCTGTAAAGGCACCGTGGTGGGGCTGCCGCACAGCTCCTGCACACTGGCCTTGCGCAGCTGGTGCAGCTTCCTGGGGACGTGATGAGTCAGTACTGAGTCCGGTTCACCAGCAGATCCTGCTACTTCAGAAACGATTGCTGCCCTTCTTGCCTCTTTCCCTTCAACATGGTCTGGCCTCGATGGAGCTTCTGTCTCTCCTGGTGCTGGACGTTGTCCAGTTTCCAATTTGCTCCTTTGGCCTGGCTCACCCTTTACCTTACCCTGAGATTTGTTCTTGAAGTTTTGCAAAGCCATTTTCCCCCCAGTTGTTTTGGGAAATACAGGCACAGTGTTTTGAGGTTCAAGCTGATGAGTTGCTATGGAGTCAAACCAGCCCAAACTGTCATCTTTGCTATTTTTGTGCTCAGTGGAATATTTTCTATTTGTTGGTCTATTAGGCCCCCCATGGGATAGGGGATCAGGAAGTGGGCTTCCCTTGGGACTGCATCCAGGAGAGGAGGTCAGCATGCTACAGTTCACTTCCTGCTGTGCTGACCAGATTCTGGACTTTGATGCTTCTCCTGGGTCATTTTTGGAGGATCCTGGGTTAGTCTCTGCCTCCACTGCCTGTGGCTGGGATTGGTGCACACTCTGATTCTGTAACCTGTAGCAGAGATAAGTAAGGAAAATGTATTGAGAGAAGAGAATTTGCGTTAACCTTTCCATTTCTTTAGTCTCTGGGATGCCATCTAAAGGGCTTGAGTCCAACATAATTCCAAGTTAATGCCAAATATAGTCTCTTAGAGCAGCAGGAGGAAATTATCCTTTTTCATCAGTATAGGATTTAAGTGCTCTGATAATTATTTTAAAATTTAGTGAAACAAAGGAAATGAAGTAGCAGGTCTGTCTACTTTTTAAGCTCTCCCTACAAGTCCATTCAAGTTATTTAAGACTGTTTGAAGGTCAGTGTAAAATACTCATTCTTCTCTCTCCAGTTAAATGTTCTGCTACAAGACAGGCTTGTCGCTATTTGCATGGTGGCCAGTTGCTGATCCAGTGGTTGTTTCATAGCCGGTTTGCAGATCAGAAACAAAGTGGAAGAGCAGAAATTATGATCTCTTCACATCTCTTGACCTGAGTACTGAATGTTAGTGCACCTACAAGTCCCCTTCCTTGGGAGTAGAGACCATGATTCCCGCCACTGTGGCTCACACTGCCCCTGGTGTGCTGTGCACGCGCCCTCCAGGCAACTGGGACATCTTTCCTGCAAAGCTCAGCCCCCGCTTCAACATGTGCTCTGGGCAGCTACTCTCTATCAAGCTGACACAGAGGTGAAACCTACTGACCTCCTGGAATGAAGGATCTGATCAGTGATAATCATTTTTAATCTTGGGCATATTAGAAACTGAAATAATTCCAGAGGACCAATTTGTAACAGAGATGGTAGTTTCTCAAAAGGAGGTCCTTCAGAAAGCCCTTCCTAACAACTCAGAAATGGCTTCTCAGTATAAGGGGCAACATGACCCCGCTTCCATGTGTTAAATTTGAAAAGGAATTAAACCAAAAAGCGGATGAGTAAATTACTCTAAGTCATGTGTAATCATAGAAAAAGGCGTAGAAGACATTAAATTTAAATGCATTTTAAATTTAAATATATTTAAATACATTAAAATGTTAATGGTAGGCCTTTCTGGGAAATAAGATTATATGCGATTTTTGCTTTCTTAATTTATTACTGTTACTTTCCAAAATACTCTATAAAGAACATGTATTACCTCTTATGATCAGGAAAAAAACCCGCAAAAAATTATTGTAAGAATACTGGGTTATATTCACTCACTGTAGATTTGGACACATTAATACAGCAAAATCCATATTCATTGTAGTCATAACCAAACAACAAGAAAAAAGAAATAGCTTTCAAAATTACTACTATCTGATATACATCAAATTGAGGTTAAGGATATTCATAATTGTTAAAGCTCCTTAAAAATGTTCTAAAAGATAGGGAATTTTAAAGGGGTAGAATAATTTAGCCCTACCATTTTAGTCTAATTCTGACTTTGGCAATTAAATTCTCCCCGGCATAAAATGTCGGCAGTTTTACTATACGTTCCTAAAACATAGCTTCTTTGCATTCTGTTTTCAGGTGGATACAATGGCCACCATTTGAGGCTGGCTGTCACTAGTAAGCATTTTCCAGAATAAAAGTGTGATAAAAATACAAATAGCTGTATTACTCATATTTGACCCCCTGAAGGGATAGAGAACTCTTTCCTAAGGGGATAAACCCATATGCTACTTGGGCTTTTCTCACATGGTAAGATTGGCTTTAGGTGTGTCTTGGAGGTCATTCACTTTCATTTGCAATGCACCTGGTTTTATAGCTTTGAGAATCAACACCCAGAACATGCCCCTGCATTTCAAAGACGTCTATACCAGAAGAAAAGAATATTTTAAGATAGAATCCTTTTTTTAGATCATTATCTATTCTTTTTTTTCTTCTTTCCCTCCAGAAGGGTCATTTTGAATTTGGTAAGTCCAACTGCTATTTTTCTATCACATAACACCGATTCTGAGCTTCGTATTTCTTTCCTTCCTGAATCCAGCATATGACAGCTTTTGGTAGTCCACATGACCAGTTTCTGGTCAGTCAAAATGAGCAGCTTCTCCAAAAGCCAAGCCAGACCCAGGGCAGGCCTGAAAAGGATCTGCTACATCAAACCATAAAAGAACCAAAGGAATAGCTTTCATCTCAACACCATGCTCTGGATCATTAAAAAGCCAGGAGACCAAAAGGAAAGGGGGTTGATTTTATACAAAGGGCAAGATTACTGCAGGCTGGCACCTGGGTATTAGCAACACAAAGCCAGTCCCCACACTCCCCCAGAAGGCTGTGCTGGCGTTTTAGGAGTTTGAGAGAGAATGCTACTGGATGAAGGCAGTGACTGAAAGGAGAAAAGCCAAGAAAAGAATTCTCAAGGTTTTACTTATTCAGTCAACAGCCCCCCTGCAGTCCCCAAATTCTCCTTCAGCAGCTGCTCTGCTTCCACATGTCTCCATTCACCAGCCCCCAGCTTGGAGGTCAACGCCAACAGCCAGACTCAGGGCAGTCACTGAGCCACTTGCATTGATCACGAAGAGACCCAGATGGATATCCCTGCCATTGCTCACTCACGTTTCACAGGTATACACTCAAAGTCTAGCTTTTTAGAAGCTCATGTATGCAGGGAGCATGCAAACATTAAAGTGGGTGCAAAAATTCTTTAGGTAAGGCACGTGACACATTCCTTCCCATGTGTCCATATTTTAACAAAACTTAGAAAGCGGAGTTTTGAAACATTGTTTTTGTCATTCTTGCGTTGTTACCCTGTGCGATGAGAAATAGATTTTCTTCTTTAACAAAATACATCGTTCTCCCTAGGGATTTTTTTTTTTTTAGTCTGTTAAATATGTAAAATTTTAAAAGTCATGACTTTGGGCATGTAGGGAAGGAAAATGATGATGCTGAAGGGAGGGTCAGAGCTGTTGCCTTTCCCAGGTGAAAGTCAGTACTAGTTATCTCTACTTCCCTAACTTTCCCCACATGCTAGCTTTGGCTAGCCTGGGCCTCAGTCTTCTGCGATTTTCTTTCACCAGGGTTATATAAAGATCAAATATTTATTATGCTTGGAGAAAAGCTTAAAAACATTAAGAATAAAATTAAAATATTAATAAACACTAAGATTCTTTATGTAAACTCCCTTGTGCATGTCCTTTCCTGGCAAGGAAAAATGATAAAGCCAAATTATTAAAATATTTTGTGTCTGGGTCTGGCTTGGGGTAGATCACTTTCCTGGAGTCCAACTTCTTCTTTCTTAACAGCATTCCCAGGCACCTCTCTGAATAGCACTGCTCTACTTCTCTTGAGCCAAAGAAAAGAAGAGAAGAAGTAATGGCAGTAAACAGAATGAAGCCCATTTACCAAGATTTCTTGATTCCATGGAAACTGTGTGTCTTCAGTGTAAACTGTGAGTAGCCAAATTTGGTGTTTCTCATGTAATTGGGAACCAGTGGTATAAATTCAGTAAATTAATATATAGTTTGGTATACATAGGAAAGGACCAGCCAGTGTTCTCTATGAGGCTCACCAAACCAGCAAGCCAAGGAAATGTAGCTATGGAAGGTGGTCTCCAAAGATGGCAGCCATCAATTCCCCCGTTCCTGTATGTCTATGTCACCCCTCCCATCAAGAGGTGGTGTCTATTTCCCCCTACCTTGCATGAGGCCTGATCTTGTATAAAATGTGGCGGAAATGATGTTGTACCAGTTCTGGCCCAGTTCATAAGAGGCCTGGCAGCTTCCATTTTTGTTCTGTTGGAGCCTTAAGCTACTGCCTTATAGTAGAGAGAGCCCAGCCAACACTAAGTGGAATGGAGATAGCATTCTCACTGAGCCCTCCTGAATTTCTGACTCTCAGAAAAGTGAACACTAAAACGGTGGTGGCGGTGGTGTTTTTTTTGTTTGTTTTTTAAGCCACTGAGCTTTTCGGTAGTTGATTATACAGCAATAGATAACTGAGACAATCCCCCACAGATAGTACAGACAGATTTTCCACTCAGTTTCCACTTTCTTTGTTTCACTAAATGTCCAACAAGGATTTTCCATTATAAGCCTTTCTTGGATTTCTTTTCTCACCTTTCAAGTCTTCTTAGCTCTTCACTCAAGAGGTTGTGCAGCTCTAGCTTTTCCAGAATAAGTTCGCACTGCCTCTGGTACTGCTTCAGAGGGTTTTCAGGAAAGGAAGTGTGGAGCGCATTCACCCCTCCCAGCAGTGCACCACCCTGAAGGGGCGAGAAAATGGAAATATAGCAGGGGGAATCCCCAGGTCAACCTGCATCGAGGAAGCACCCACTAGAGACCACTGCTCCCAGATCAGCCCTCTCCACCCCCATCTTGGTATCAGAATCACCTGGGGGCCTTTTCCAAATTTCAGCAGTTCTCTCCCCCAATTCCTGGTAGCAAGCATTGCTCCAGGAAGCACACTGCCCTAGTGGGGCCATGAGCACCCCTCAGATGTGCTGAGTGAGACCCCTACTGTACACCAGTGGGCAAAAGCGATGCTACGGATGCAAAGGCTATTTCCATGACGAGTTTTTCCTCTTCTTTTAAATGGTTTACTTTGGATCTATTTCCTTTGGATCTATATCTAGAATACAATCATTTTTATAACTTCTGATACGCTGTAGACTGTCTTTTCTTTCTTTCTTTTTTTGTCTTTTCTTTTTTTACATGCTTATAATTAGCGTTCAAATATTAGGTGCTAGGGGCACCTGGGTGGCTCAGTCGTTAAGCATCTGCCTTCGGCTCAGATCATGATCTCAGGGTCCTGCGATCGAGCCCCGCATTGGGCTCCCTGCTCCTTGGGAGCCTGCTTCTCCCTCTCCCACTCCCCCTGCTTGTGTTCCCTCTCTCGCTGTGTCTCTGTCAAATAAATAAATAAAATCTTTAAAAAAAACCCCAAAAAACAAATATTAGGTGCTGAACGCTCTCACCTGCATCGAGGATTCCATTACTGACACGGCTGTAACAGCGTCTTCCAGAGTCACAGTGTCACGAAACATCAGGCGGGCATGAGCTACGAAGATTAGGAAGACAGAAACGTCTTTAATGAGTATTTGAAGTGATATATGTAATACTTTATCTGACTCCCCCGAAAAAGTATATTTAATGAATGAGCTACTAATCACAAATTCATTTTACTAAAACAAGCACAAAAGTCTCATTTCAACTAGCTTTAAAGTTGGGTCTAATAAATAAAATAATGGGCCTAATCTTGCACAGCCCATGGCACTTCTGGGCATTTATATGAAAAAGTACTCTGGGCTCCAAAAAGAAAGGGGTTAGAGAAGCATATCTCTAATATTCAACACCTTTTAATCCTCATTCTCTTGTCTCTTATAGAAATACACAATATCAAACTGATTTCTCATCTCTGGGCTTTTCAAAACTACCAAACTCATCAGCTTGCATTTGGGGTACTTCTTGTCTTAATTTTAGCTATAAATCCTTGACAAAGTAAAGTGCATTGGTTTTATAGAACTTTTTATTAAGCATATATTCTGTCATCGTATGATACATTCAGTTCATGTGGAACTTTTTTTTAAGAGTTATTTTAACAAAAGCTAAGTGTAAAAGTCACTCTTAGGAAAAAAGTCTTGAGATGCATGTTAGTTGTAGGTATGCACGTTAAGTCTCATGCCTTTGGGATGGGCTAGTTTCCTCTGTTGGTGGTGGGGTATGAATAGCAATTAGAAAAAAAACAGAGATGCTATACAGGAAACACCTCTAAACAAGAAAGTGTTCAACCCCAAGTGCTAACAGACTGCCATTGAGAAACAAACATTAGTAAATAAGACTTTCTAAATGAATGATGTCTCTAAGATTCCACTTTCTTAATGATGCTACATTCTACTCAATACCCATAATCTGTCCCCAGAAGAACAGAGGTTTCATAGCTCAGAGCCTTTACTTTTTAAGCGACTATGAGCACCTTAGAGTAGAGAGTCTTCTTACTCATCTTTGAATCCATGATGCCAAGCTCCATGCCTTACACATATTGGGCACCCAATAGAAGTATTATTTGTTGAATGAAATAAACCTTCTGCTAATCGGATCAAGCTTTCCAACAGGCGGATGGTGGTCCGGGCAGCGTTCCGGGAGTCACTCTGCCTCTGCATCTGGTAGTACCGGAGAAGGACTTGATTACCCACATCGGACAGCCTGGGCTGTAGATTCCTAATCAGGCAGAAGTAGGTTTTCATCTTTTCCATGCTCCAGAGCTTCTTTGATTTGCTTGGGTAACCTGTATATATTAGGTACTAGGTCAGTAATTTCTAGGAACAGACAAACATCTGCTTTAAGGGTTTTGATAAAGTTCTTACACTCATTTTTAAAAAGATAACTTTCAGGTTTGTGGGCAGTGAAACCTAGATGACTCTGCATAGCATATAGTTCAAGAATAAGTAGCCTTAAGATCTAAGCTCAATAAAGGTAAACTTCCTACAGGGGCTAAAATTATCCATAATAATTCTGGTCTGTCCTATTGTAATACACAGTATTTGAGTAAATCTAACTTAAAGAGAAACTTACATTTACAGATTTCTGTTTCATAATTCAGTCCAGTTTTCTTTGCGTGCAAGAGATGATTGATAATTCTATATCATACGGTTGCCCCCTTTCATCACAAAGAACATATTCACTGGCTGTAACACCCTCGGTAGGCCCTTTCCCTCCTGCTCGTTATTCTGGGTGCACTAAATGGCTCCTCGGACAGCCTTCTGTGCAGGCATCTCTATGCCGCTTAGGTAGGGCGCCTTGGGTATTTACTTCATTTTCTTCAAAGAGAATTTCATTTGGTTATGTCTACTTTTTCTTGGTCAACTTGAATGATTTATCTCCACGTACCTTTGTTTTCTAAGATAAAGGAGGAAATTATACGATCCCAGTCTTCATTCTTGGTATCAAGCAAAACCAGGATCAGATCAAATCGACTTAAGAGAGGGCTACCGAGGGCGATGTTCACAGACACGGACTCATGGGGGTCATACTGGCCTTTGGGGTTAGTTGCTGCCAGGATGGTGGTCCTTGTGTTCAGCTTGCACACGAGGCTATTAAAAGAAAGGGTACAATTCACTGACTGTTGAGATTAAAATAAAAAGCAAAATTAAACTTGTTAATAAAAGGGGCTGCTCTTGTACCCTGAAAATCTAGAGAGACTTGTGTGAAGAAGGATGTGGAATGATACAGGGACATATCACAAACATCAAGTTTGAAGGAAGTACACTTACAGTAACCTATCCTGAAGGGAAGTTACTACTGAATAAACACTTCTTGGCCCCTACTATGAGCAGACCCTTCTGCTGGGTGTTAAGAGGTATACGAAATTAACTAAACATGGATTCTGCTCTTAAGGAGCTTGAAATCTATGAGCTATAATGGTAAGAGAGGGAAGACTATGGTAAGTTCTAGAAGGATAAAGTTCCCAAGGTAAGTAAAGATGATGTATATTCATTTATGTGGATGGAAGAGATGATTAGAGAAACATTACCAAGTAGCTTTTGAACTGGACCCTTCATAACATCTGGACTTTTTTTAAGTGGAGGTAGATAAGTGTGTGTATATATACACACCTACATACAAATATACATACATATATGCACACACACATGTTTGTTGAGAGTGAAGATGAGGGGCAGGGGTAAGGGTGACTTTGGAGAATGGTAAGTGGTTGAAGCAAAAACTTCCTGTGTGCTCGCTTCTTTTGATTTTTCTAAAAGTGAAAGAAACAAGAGTCAGAGAGAAGGGGGGGAGGGAGGGAGAGAAACAAAGGAAGGAAAAGAGGGGGAGAGGGGGAAAGGAAATCAGGAAAAATAAGGATTGATTAGCATCACGTCTTTTGTTTGTTTTGAATATAGTGGAGACACAATGTTACATTAGTTTCAGGTGTATAACTTAAGTGATTTGACAAGTTTATACATTCTACTATGTTCACCACAAGTGTAGCTATTATCTGTTCCATTACATCGCTACTACAATATCACTATGCTCCTTATACTCTGCTTTTTATTCCCGTGACTTACTCATCCCAAAACTGAACTCATTCCCTCTCCCTTTCACCTATTTTGCTCCAACTCCCATCCCCCTTCCCTTTGGCAATCATTAGTTTGTTCTTTGTAGTTATAGTTCTGATTCTGCTTTATTTTCTTTAGATTTCATTTATGAGTGGACTTATATAAGGTATTTGTCTTTCTCAGTCTGACTTATTTCACTCAGCATAATATCCTCTAGGTCCATCCATGTTGGCTCAAATGGCATGATCTCATCCTTTTTTACGGCTGAGTAATATTGTGTGTGTGTGTGTGTGTGTACATACACATCATATTTTCCTTATCTATTTGTCTATTGATGGACACTTAGGTTGCTTCCATGTCTTAGCTGTTGTAAATAATGCTTCAATAAACATAAGAGTGCATATATCTTTTTGAGTTAGTGTTTTTGTTTTCCAATAGCGGAATTATTGGACCATATGGTGTTTCTATTTTTAATTTTTTGAGGAACCTCCATACTGCTTTCCACAATGGCTATACAATTTACATTCCCACCAACAGTGCAGGAGGGTTCCTTTTTCTCCACAACCTCACTAACATTTGTTGTTTCTTATCTTTTTTATTTTAGCCATTCTAGCAGGTGATATCTCATTATAGTTTTGATTTGCATTTCCGTGATGATTAGTGACGCTGAGCATCTTTTTATGTGTCTGTTGGCCATCAGTATGTCTTCTTTGGAAAAATGTCTATTCAGGGCCAGAAAATCCTAAAGAATCCACCAAAAAAGTACTAGAATAAACAAATTCAGTAAAGTGGCAAGATACAAAATTAGTACCAAGAAATCTGTAGCTTTTCCATACACTAACAATGAAACTGCAGAAAGAGAAATTAAAAAAAAAAAACCATTTACAGCTGCACCAAAAAGAATAAAATACGTAGAAATAAGCTTAACCAAAGAGGTGAAAGACCTATACTCTGAAAACTATAAAACACTGATGAAAGAAATTGAAGGTGACACAAACAAATGGAAAGATTTTTCATGCTCATGGGTTGGAAGAACAAATACTCCTAAAATGTCTACACTACCCAAAGTAATCTATAAATTCAATGCGATCTCTATCAAAATACCAACATTATTTTTCACAGAACTAGAACAAATAACAAAATTTGTATGGACTCAGAGAAGACCCCAAATAGTCAAAACAATCCTGAGAAAGAACAAAGATGGAGGTATCACAATTTTAGATTTCAAGATATATTACAAAGCTGTAGTAATCGAAACAATATGGTACTGGCACAAAAACAGACACATAGATCAATGGAACAGCATAGACTCCAGAAACAAACTCACGAATTACATGGTCAGTTCATCTATGAGAAAGGAGGCAAGAATACACAATGGGGAAAAGACAGTTTTTTCAATAAATGGTGCTTTGAACTGGACAAGACTGAAACTGGACTACTTTCTAATACCATGCACAAAAATAAAATGGATTAAGGACCTAAACATGAGACCTGAAACCATAAAAATCCTAGAAGAGAACATGGGCAGTAATTTCTCTAACATCAACCATAGCAACACTTTTCTTTTTCTTCTTTTTTTTTTAAAGATTTTATTTATTTATTTGAGAGGGAGAGAATGAGAGAGAGCACATGAGAGGGGGGAGGGTCAGAGGGAGAAGCAGACTCCCTGCCGAGCAGGGAGCCCGATGCGGGACTTGATCCAGGGACTCCAGGATCATGACCTGAGCCAAAGGCAGTCGCTTAACCAACTGAGCCACCCAGGCGCCCAACACTTTTCTTTTTCTTTCGTTCTTTTTCTTCCTTCCTTCCTTTCTTAAATAGATTTTATTTATTTGAAAGAGAGAGTGTGTGTGTGCTTGTACAAGCAGGGAGGATGGGCAGAGGGGGAGGGAGAGGGACAAGCAGATTCCACATTGAGCCCCTAAAGCGGGGCTCAATCTCAGGACCCTGAGATCATGACCTGAGTTGAAACCAAGTCAGACGCCTAACCGACTGAGCCTCCCATATAGCAACATTTTTCTAGATAAGTCTCCTAAAACAAGAGAAATGAAAGCAAAAATAAACTATTGGGAATACATCAAAATAAAAAGCTTTTTTTACAGCAAAGGCAACCTTCAAGAAAACAAAAGACAACTTACTGAATGGGAGGAGATGTTTGTAAATGATAAATCCGGAAAGGGTTAATATCCAAAATATATAAAGAACTTACACAACTCAGCACCAAAGAAACCAAACAATCCAATTAAAAAATGGGCGGGGGGGGGGGGGCGCCTGGGTGGCTCAGTTGGTTAAGCGACTGCCTTCGGCTCAGGTCATGATCCTGGAGTCCCGGGATCGAGTCCCACATCGGGCTCCCTGCTCGGCGGGGAGTCTGCTTCTCCCTCTGATCCTCCCCTCTCTCATGCTCTCTGTCTCATTCTCTCTCTCAAATAAATAAATAAAATCTTTAAAAAAAAAAAAATGGGCAGAGGACCTGAATGGTTATTTTTCCAAAGAAGATATACAGATAGCCAACAGATATGAAAAGCATCACGTTTTTTTTTTTAATTTTTTTTTTTAAGATTTTATTTATTTATTTGAGATAGAGAGAGACTGAGAGAGTGCACGAGAGGGGGTAGGGTCAGAGGGAGAAGCAGACTCCCCACTGAGCAGGGAGTCTGATGCGGGACTCGATCCCGGGACTCCAGGATCATGACCTGAGCCGAAGGCAGTCGCTTAACCAACTGAGCCACCCAGGCGTCCCAAGCATCACGTTTTTGAAGAGCAACAGTGAAGGGCACACTGAGGAGGTCTGGGCGCCGTGGGCCAATTATATGGGGAAAATTGTGGCCAGGACCCATGGAGGAGATGGGGCAATGGTATGGGGAGAGGCACACAAGTCCTGAAGGAGCAGTGGCACCGTGGGTATGGTTATGCCATAACTTAGATACTGTTTTTAAACTTATTAATGATGGGCAAGTCCCTAAAATAACATGGCATATTCATTAACAATAATAAATGTAGATTCTTTTCTCTCTGCAAATTTGTATGCTCTCCATTCAATGGCTGTTTTTAGTTATAGTGGCATGTCTGCCTCTCAGCAGTCACAGCCCGGTGACATCAGCAAACATGTGCTACATTTGTTAATGTCTATTTCCAGTTGGCTCTAGTGATCAGCCCATGCCCTAAGACTGAAAAAGTTTGAGAATCTTTATTTGTGGTAAATGGCACAAGAAGACACTCATCAAAGAAAGACAAACAAGGCACCAATCCCCCCTTTAAAACCAAATCTCCTTTAAAAAAATTACTGAAAGGGAAAAATTCTGAACAGACGGTCTACATCTTATAATGTATGGGCCAAAATGGCTTTATAAAGGCAGTTGTTTAGAACTTGGAATCCAGTTTGCCAAAAAGAATGTAGTAGATTGCTCCTAACTAATCCCACTAAACACATTTAATCCATACTGAAGTGAGGCTGCTTGCATTTATCATGGAAAAGGAATATTGCTGGAATACCGGCAAGGGAACAAAATACAACTGCATACAAAGTGATTTTTTTTAAAAATTATTTTCAATGTGAGGTAAAATTGACTGTTCATCCTCTCTCTGATCAACAAATAAGCCATTTCCTGTTTGCAAAGGACTGGACAGATTTCAAGAAGGTATACAGTGGTCCCTGCCTTCAGTCAGTTTACAATAGAACTGCTGGAGGATGGGGAGGTTCTACGCAGCGCCTGCCAAGCAACGGATGATGGCATCCATGTCAGCATTAGCATTGGCAAAGAGACATTCCACGGAGACTCCTGGGTATCTACAAGGTATATAATCTTACAGCTATCCATGATATGAGAAGGAAAATAAACAAGCAACCACAGAAAGAAGGTGGTGAATTATTCCTAATTGGGACAAAATGAAATGAATAAGCTTAAGGAAGGGGGCCAAGGACAATTTATATGTGAAGAAAAGGGCTGCCTGATAAGCAGTTAGTGGAAATGTGAGCAATGAAAAATTGGGGAGTGGTCATCTGAAAGAAGGGAAGGTGGTACACGTGCCTAGTG